TGGCCATTTAAATAATGCTGATTCTTCCAATCCATGAGCAGGGGATGTCTTTCCGTTTCTTTGTGTCTTCTTCAATTTCTTTTAAGTGTTTTATAATTTTCTTTGTATAGGTCTTTCACCTCTTTTGTTAGGTTTATTCCCAAGTATTTTATTTTTTTGGTTTCAATTATAAAAGGGATGGGTTTTTGATTTCTTCTTCTTCCGATTGACTGTTTGTGTATAGGAAGGCTACTGATTTTTGCGTGTTGATTTTGTATACTGCTACTTTACTGAACTGGCTGATTATTTTGAGTAGTTTTTCTATGGAGTTTTTAGGGTTCTCTATGTATATTATCATATCATCTGCAAATAGTGATAGTTTTACTTCTTCTTTCCCTATCTGGATTCCTTGTATGACTTTCTCTTGTCTTATTGCCCTGGCTAGGACTTCCAGTATTATGTTGAAGAGCAGTGGTGAGAGAGGACATCCTTGTCTTGTTCTTGATCTCAAAGGAAAGGCCTTCAGCTTTTCGCCATTGAGAATAATGTTGGCAATGGAGGTCCAGTGGTTTGTCGTATATGGCTTTTATCATGTTAAGGTATGTTCCTTCTATCCCGAGAATTTCAAGGGCCTTCATTATAAATGGATGTTGGACTTTGTCGAATGCTTTCTCAGCATCTATTGATATGATCATATGGTTTTTTACTTTTCTTTTTGTTGATGTGTTGGATTACACTTATTGATTTCTCTATATCGAACCATCCTTGTGCCCCTGGGATGAATCCCACTTGATAGTGATGTACTATCCCTTTGATGCATTGTTCGATTCTGTTGGCAAGGATTTTGTTGAGGATTTTTACACCAGTGTTCATTAGGGAGACTGGCCTGTAATTTTCTTTTTTTGTGCTGTCTTTGTTGGGTTTTGGTATTAGTGTGATATTGGCTTCGTAGAACATATTTGGTAGTATTCCTTCTTTTTCAATTTTTTGAAAGAGTTTGTGTAGGATAGGCACTAATTCACTGCTGAGCGTTTGGTAGAATTCATTTGTGAAGCCATCTGGGCCTGGGCTTTTGTTTTGGGGGAGTGCTTTGATTACTGCCTCAATTTCGCTGCTTATAATTGGTCTGCTTAGTTGTTCTATTTCTTCTTTGTCCAGCTTTGGATGATTATATCATTCTAGGAATTTGTCCATCTCTTCTAGGTTGTTGAATTTGTTTGCATATAAGTGTTCATAGTAATCTCTGATTATTCTTTTGATTTCTACTGAGTCTGTTGTGATTTCTCCTCTTTCATTTGTAATCCTATTTATATGTGTTTCCTCCCATTTTTTCTTTGTGAGCCTGGCTAGGGGTTTGTCTATTTTGTTTATTTTTTCGAAGAACCAACTTTTGGTTTCATTGATCTTTTGGATTGGATTGTTTTTTTAATTTCCAATTCGTTTATTTCGGCTTTGATTTTTATTATTTCCTTTCTTCTACTGGCTTTAGGGTTTTTTTGTTGTTCTTTTTCTAGCTCTTTGAGATGTGAGATTAGGTTGTTTCTTTGAGTTCTTTCTTTAAAACAACATAGTCTTAAACAATCAATGGGTCAAAGAAGAAATCAAAAGGGAAATTAAAAGATACTTCAAGATGAAAGGAAATAAAAATGTAACAAACCAAAATTTATGGCATGCAGCAAAAGTAATGCTCAGAGAGACCATTATAGTTGTAAATGTCTACAAAAGAAGAAAACTCTCAAATGAAAAAAGACTTATTTAACATTAAGAAATTAGAAAAAGAAGAGCAAACTAAACCAAAAGTTGTCAGAAGAAAGGAAATAAAGACCAAGAGTAGAGACAAATGAAACAAAGAATAAAAACACAAAAGGGAGAGTCAACAAAACAAAACCAAAAGTTGATTCTTAGACTAGACCAACAAAATTAATAAACCTTTACCTAGACTAATGTGAGAGACAGAAAATGCAAATAACTACAACTAGCTATAAAAGTAGGACCTTCCTACTGACCTAAAAGAAATAAAAAGAATTATAAGAGAATATTATGAACAACCATATACCAACAAATTAGAAACTTAGATAAAATGGATAAATTCCTAGAAATATACTAATTGCCAAACTGATACAAGAAGAAATACAAAATCTGAACAGATCTAGAACATGTATAGACTGAATCAGTATTCAAAAAGTACCTAACAAAGAAAAGACCAGACAGCTTTACTTATGACCCCTACTAAGAAGAATCAACATCAATCCTTCTCAAACTCTTCCAAAGAATAGAAAAGGAGGAGACAAATCCTAACTCATTCTATGAGATTGGTTACCCTGAAACCAAAACCAGATTAAAAATACCAGAAAAAAACTACAAATCAATATTCCTTAAAAATAAAATGCAAAATCTTCAACGAAATGTCAGCAAACCTTATTTAATAGAACAGCAATATAAACCTTTAGGTTTATGTACCATAATCAAGTGAGATTTATTCCAAGAATACAAGGTGGTGCAACATAAGAAGATTAATCAATGTAACATACTGCATCAATAGAATGAAGAAAAAAAAGACCATCCCAGTTGATGAAGAAAAGGTTTTGATAAAATACAAAACCCACTCATGATAGAACCTCTCATATAATAAGGAATAAAAGGAAACTTCCTCAAGAAGATAAGGGCATTTATGAAAAAACCCACAACTAACATCAAACTCAATGGTGAAAGACTAAAGGCTTTCCCTCTAAGATCAGGTACAAGTCAAGCATGCCTATTCTTGCCATACTATAACATTGTACTGGAAGTTACAGCCAGAGTAATTTAGGCAAATAAATAAGTAAATGTCATCTAAATCACAAAGGAAAAAGCCAAACTTTCTTTACTCATAGATGATGTGATCCTGTATACAGACTATTCCAAAGAATACATACACACACACACACACACACACCCCTCTACTAGAGTTAACTGCTAATTAGTAGTGGTAGCTAATTAGCTACTACTAATTCAGCTAAGTAAAAGACTGCTTCTATAATCAGTTATGCTTCTCTATACTAGCTGTGAACAATCTGCTTCTGTATACTGAAAATGAACAATCTGAAAGGGAATAAAGAAAGCAATTATTTTTATAATAACTCAACGAATGAAATATGCAGGAATAAACTTAAGGTGGTAAAAGACTACAAAACATTGCTGAAAGATATTAAAAGAAGACCTTCATAAATGGAAAGACATTGTGTATTTAAAGATTGGAAGACTTAATATTGTCAAGATGGGAATACTATCCAAAATGATTCACTGCAATCCCCACAAAAAAAATCCCAACAGGCTGTCAGCAGAAATGGAAAGGTTAATTCTCAAATTCATTGCAAGGAACCCTAAAAACCACATTTAAAAAAGAGGAACAAAACTGAAGGAATCACTCTTCCCAATTTCAAAACTTGCTACAAATCTACAGTAATCAAGACAATGTGTCACTGGCATAAGGATAGGCACATAAACCAATGAAATAGAATTGGGAGTATAGAAGTAAATTCATACATCTATGGCTTATTCCTTTCTGACAAATCTACAAAGACTGTTCAGTGGGGGAAAGAACGCTCTTCAATAAAAGATGCTAAGAGAAGTGTGTATTTACATGCAAAGAAGGAAGCTGGACCCTACTTTATATCATTAGAGAAATTAACTGAAAATGGCTCAGAGACCTAAATGTAAGAGCTATAACTATAAAATTCTTAAAGGAAAACACAGAGGTAAACCTTTATGAACTTGGATTTGGCAATGAATTCTTAGATATGACACCAAAAGCACAAGTAACCAAGGGGGGGGAAACAGATAAATTTGACTTTATCGAAATCAGAATCTTTTGTAAATCAAAGAACACTATCAAAGAAAGTGAAAAGACAACCTACAGAATGGGAAAAAAAATTTTCAAATAATGTAACAGATACGAGACTTATATCCAGAATATAAAAAGAACTCTTTTTAACGATTCACAGGCAAAGAATCTGAATAGACATTTCTCCAAAGAGGGTATATAAGTGACCAGTAACTTGAAAAGATGCTTAACATCATTAGTCATTGTAGAAATGCAACTCAAAACCTCAATCAGATACTACTCCACACACAACCAGAATAACTCTAATAAAAATAAATTTTAAAAAAGGAAATAACAAGTATTGGCCAAAAAAAAAAATGTGGAGAAATTGGAACCCTCATGCATTGCTGATGGGAAAATGTAAAATGGTACAACCAGTGCTTAGCAGCCCCTCAAGAAGTTAAACAGAGAGTTACTGAACAGCCCAGCAATTCCACTCTGATATTTATACTTAAGAAACTTGAAAATACGTTCATACAAGTTGCACATGAGTGTTCATAATAGCATTGTTAACAGTCAAAAGGTAGAAAAAACTCCAAATGTCCATCCACTAATGAATGAATAAACAAAATGTGGTAGCTACCCATACAACAGAAGTCATAAAAGTAACAAAACATTCTATGACATGAATGAACCTTAAAAACATTATGCTAAGCAAAAGCCAGACATACAAAGCCACATATTATATACTCCATTTATATGAACTATCCAAAATCAACAAATCCTTCAAGACCTTAAGTAGCACAGAGGTTGCAGGGCATGGCGTGGGGGGCAGGGTAGTAGAGAATGGCAGTGGGTACGGCTCTCCTTGGGGGTAATAAAATATTCTGGAATTAAATATTGGTGATGGTTACACAATCTTGTGAATGTACTAAAAACCACTGATCCATATCATTTAAAATAATAAATTTCTGGTATCTGAATTACAGCTCAGAAAAGAAAAAGAAAATGCTTTAAGTCTATAGATAGGAGTTTTTTGTGCACCTGAGGAGATTTCCATAGAGTGGGTTAAGCAAAACAGAAGGTAGCTCCCACTTAATGTGAAACTTTATCACAAGGGAATGCAATTCTGCTATAGTATTATTATTCATTCATTCAACAGATAGTCATTGAGCGCATATTATATATAAGAATCAGAACAGCATCTGCATCCACTTGCCTGTTGTTGTTTGAAGGCCTCAAGAAGCAAATCAATATCAGTGTCGGTGAGAGGGAATTGTAGCCGAGGACCAGTATAGGAATCCGGGACTTCTATCAACCCCACAAAGTCATGTCTATCCTTGATGTCTTGGACGGTTCTACCATATAATCGAGTCACGAATTCTGGAAAATGAAAGACAGAAAGGGGGGAAGGGAGAGTCAACATCTCCATACTTAAATGAAATAAATACCTTCTTGAAATCTAACTGAGCTAAATGTTATGAATACCAAGAAATTCCACATATAACTATGAGGAATGATCTGTTCTGAGAGTAGTAGGTACATTCACATGAATCACCATCATCCCTTTCTTGATGGACATCTTAGCGAAGCAGTGAGTTCATAATCAGTGGCGAGGGGAGAGAGAAGCACAGAAAAAACTAGTCAATCAAGGCATTGTGATGGTCTAAAGCTCTAACTCTGTATCTCAGATTTTTACAAATAAGGCTGAAAAATAGAACAATGCATTACATTTGGTTCAAACATCTGCTACTATTCAGGATCTACAGAAAATTAAACTGCAACATTCAATTTTTCCCCTGTTAAACACGACAAATTTTACTTAGTTGTAAATGATTTTTCTCTTCACATAGAAACAAGTTTTCTGACATGATTTTCTTTTTCTTCTTAGTAACAAAGCATATAAAGTTAGATGACTAACCACAGGCAAAATTACACAAAAGGCCTCTCTCTCAGACGTTTCTATGTAACAGATTGCCTGTAGTGCCCCATTCAGTGGATTCTGAGACCCAGTGTCTCCTTCTTGCTAGATTGCCCATGAAAAATCCCAAGGAGAGAAATCTGGCCAATTCAGGTGGAGAAAGATGAAAGGTGATCTAGTAGATTTGTTTCTAAAGTGACCCCAATACTCTATATCAAACTCATAGGTCATTCTCCTTTTTAATGTGATTTTGCAGCTATTCTCATCAGGAGCCTATTTTCCCCACCATGAAGGTTGGGTTGGGTTCATGACTAGTGCTGACCTAAAATGTGGAATAAATGTCATGTACCAGTTCCAAGCCAGGACATCAGGAGGCCTTGCATGCTTCCAAGCTCTCTCTTTTGAAACCATGGCATTCTCATGAAGTCGAGCCACACTAGCCTGCTGAAAGATCCGACACCATGTGATGCATAGCTGAGTCACTGAGGCCACCCTAAAACAGGCACCAGCCAGCAAACCTCTAGTCACATGAGTGAACTCCAGCCAAGGTTCAAAAATTGCTTAACGAGACTGCAAAGATCAGCAGAAGTGCTCAGCTAATCTGTAGACTTGTGAGCAAAAAGGAATGCTTATTACATATCACTGAGTCATTGTGGTTGCTTAATAGACCGTATTATTGCAGTAACAGATAAGTGATACAGAGAATAATGACATACCCTTCTCAACTTGTTAACACTGAATTGCTCCTAGGGCAATTAATACGAGTTCTCTGCAAGTAGTTTCTACCTTTTTGAAGATTTTGAGTGGACATGTTTGGATAGTATAATGTTAACAAGTGAAGACACAGAATACATATCATTTTTCATGATGCACTCAGGCTGAGAGATTACAGTTAAGAACTAAACTTGAAAAAAAGTTCTGAAGTAAATCATAATATTTGGTTATTTAAAAATACTTTCTAAAGTATTGTGTAACCCCAATATTTTTTGGTGGTGGTTAATCATGTTTTATAAGAAGTTGAATTTAGGAGTAATAATGTCTGTCTTCAATGTGGTCCACCAGAGGCTATTTTTCTCCTTTGGATTTGAATTGAGATTTGAGAATAAGTTGACTATTTCACTTTATGTTTGAAAACTGGGGAAACTATGGTGACCATACCTGAAGGGAGATATCCTGTATTACGAAAAACTAAACAAGAATGTTTTTAAAAAATAACAATAGGGTCTCCCTGGTGGCACAAGGGGTTAAGCACCGCACTATGAAGCAGTTCGCAGCCTCTGCAGCATGAGTTCAATCCCCGGCCAGCCAGGGAGCAACTCACATGGCGAAGCAGACCTCTCTTGTCTCGTCCGCTGCTCCCCTCAGCAGTGTATTTCAGTTGGTCTGCCTGTTCTGTTCCCCACTCTGTCTCTGGTGGGTCCTCTCACACCCCATATCTCTGTCCTATACCCCAGCTCTTGTATGCATAAATAAATCTTTAAATAATAATAATAATAATAATAATAATAATAATATAATAAAAGAAAACTAGGAATGTAAAGCCTCTTGGTAAATTTTACCTCATATCCATTATGTAGGCAATAAAGTCTAATTACTAACTGTAGTAATGATGATACTGCTTCTCATTTCTATTGGGTAACATTCTTAGAGACAGATCTTGCTCCAAATGAAAACTTTCCTCTTCCTAACTCTACAGACTAAATTATCAGGTTCTTTTTTTTTTTTTAAAGATTTGTTTGTTTGTTTGTTTGTTTATGCAAGCACTGGGTACAGTCAGAAGCGCGGGGGCAGGGGGAGGGGGGTGAGAGAATTCACCAGAGCCAGAGCGGGGAGCAGAGCAGGCAGAAGGACCAAAGTACACTGCCGAGGGGAGCAGCGGGCGGCAGGAGAGGTCTGCGCGCCCTGTGGGACCCTCCTCAGGTGGCCGGGGAGCAGCCGGGGATCGAACCGGCGCCTCAGAGGCCGCGGGCAGCTTCACAACCCAGCGCTCAACCACTGCGCCACCAGGGAGGCCCTAAATTATCAGGTTCTTCTTGGGAAAGCAACAACAAAAGCCAGTTGCAGTTTCACTATATCATCTCATAATTGACTTACTGAGTATTCCCAACTCTATGAGGTATAAAAAAGAAATGACTTTATTTTCCCAATCTTTACCTTCACCCATGCTCTGTCAATTCTCCCTTTCTCATCAGTCAACAGACAAATCAAGTCAATTCCAGTTCTAGTTATTAAAACTCAATCTCAGCCCAGGCCCACTGGGCTATGGTGGAGTATTACTGGGGCATTGGTGATGGGCATGGTATGGTAACATACATATAAAGAGGTATGATCCTATACCTCTAAACCATAGAAAGTGTTGCAAACCAATGTTATTTCAATTAAAAAATTATACAACTTTTGAAAAAGTAAAAATATAAAATAAGAAACTTTTGTTTTTTAAGAAGTCATGTTTAAGAACAAAATTAAAATAATGTTTTTTTCTTTTAAAAAACAGCTCAGTCTGATCCTTCTTCCATGTAATTGATGACCTTCATTCCTTCCAAGTTCAGTAATAAATATGTGAAAAAGTACCATTTCCCTAAACCAATTCTTAGTCAAAACCATTCAATATGAAATATCAGTAAACATAAAATCATAATACCTCCTGCTGGGTATTAGTCACATTAAAAAAATAATAATAACAAAGGGCCTCCCTGGTGGTGCAGGGGTTGAAGTCTTGATACTGTCAAGCTATTGCCAGCCACTACGGCATGAGTTCGATCCCTGGCCAGGGAGCTAACCCACATGGCACAGCAAACATCACCTGTCTCACCCACTGCTCCCATCAGTAGCATATTTCAGTGGATCTACCTATTCTGCTCCCCACTCTGTTTCTGGTGAATCCTCTCACCCCACCCCCCACACCACTGACCTACTCCCCAGCTCTTGTATGCACAAATAAATAAAAATAAATCTCAAAACAAAAAAAAACATAGATTCTCTCCCAGTAGCTAATGTGGGTCATAAATGAAAACAATCAAAAGTGTTAACATTTCAAATGCAAGTACTGTGCTTACAGGCTATAACTGTTATACTACTACTAATAATTTAATGAATATCTACAATATATGAAGATTTGTGCAACATGTAATTAGAATTAATCCTTACCTATTTGGTTTATAATCCTTTGAAATGAATCTAAACTAATTAAATATAATAAAATCTTGAATTACACCAAATGATACCTTAACAAATTGTTCTGAAGAAAATACTTCAAAAATACCCCCTACACACAGTCTTTTCTTTTACCTAGTACAGACTCAAAATCTGGACAGGGAAAAATTTGAAGCCCATAATTAAAAAAAAAAAAACAATTTCTGCCTTTCCCACCCACATGTCACTTTGAAAACAAGCTCCAGATACTGCTGAAAAAGAAAAGCACCAACTGAGCCACATTTATGGTTATTTCATTTCTCAATTATGAATCTGGATTAAAATCATGGGTGCCCTTATAATTAACTCAATATATGCCTAAATGACATTTCATACAACTCAACACCTGTTCCTGATTTGTTTAAAACTCATAAAACTTGGAAGTATACAAGGGTACCTCCTTAACATAATTTTAAAATTTAAATCAACAGTAATGGTTTTTCCATTAAATCATTAACAGAATATGGATGCCTACTTTTACTGATCCATTTTAACTTTGTCCTACTATCTCCAATCAATATAATAAAACATGAAGCTGATTCTATACAACAAAAGAAACTTACATCAAACCAAAAAGACATTCTACTGAGTGAGATATTTGCATATTACATACCCAACAAGGGTTTAATATCCAAAATATACAAAGAACTCATAAAATTAAAAAAAAAAAAAATCCTGAAGGGCAGAAGATCTGAATATACTTCTTCAAAGTCATACAGATGACAAATAGGCACAGGAAAAGGTGTTCCTCATCTCCATTATTCGAGAAATACAAATCAAAACAACATTGAGAGATCACCCCTCAACTGTAAGGATGGCTATTATCTAAAAGACAAAAACCAGGAAGTATTGTAGAGGCTGTAGGGAGAAGGAGACCTTATACACTGTCGGTGGGAATATAAATTGATGCAGCTATTATGGAGAGCAGTATGGAGGTTCCTCAAAAAAATTAAAAACAGAAATTTCATGAGTTCCAGCTATCCCACTTCTGGATATTTACACCAAAAATACAAAAACCGGGCCTCCCTGGTGGTGCAAGGGGTTAAATACTGCACTACGAAGCAATCCGCAGCCTTTGCAGCACAAGTTCAATCCCCAGCTGGCCAGGGAGCAACCCACATGGCGCAGCAGACCTCTCCTGACTCACCCTCTGCTCCCCTCAGCAGTGTACTTCAGTCAGTCTGCCTGTTCTGTTCTCTACTCTGTCTCTGGTGAATCCTCTCACCCCCAGCATCTCTGGCCTGTACACTAGCTCTTGTATACATAAACAAATATTTTTTAAAAATACGAAAACCAGGGCCTCCCTGGTGGCGCAGCGGTAGAGTGCTGGGTTGCGAAGCTGCCTGCAGCCTTTGCAGCGCCGGTTCGATCCCCAGCCACTGGGCGAGGGTCCCACATGGCGCACAGACCTCTCCTGCCGCCCGCTGCTCCCCTCAGCAGTGTACTTCTGTCAGTCTGCCTGCTCTTCTCCCCTCTCTGGCTCTGGCGAATTCTCTCACCTTCCTGTGCTTCTGACTGTATCCAGTGCTTGTATAAATAAATAAATAAAATCTTTTAAAATAAATAAATAAATAAATAATACGAAAGCCAAATTTGAAGAGAAATATGCACTCCCCCCCGATATTTATGGCAGCACTAGCTGCAATAGTAGAAACAACCTAAGTGTCCATTCATTGACAAATGGATAAAGAAGATGTGGTATGTATGTATGTGTATATATATATGATGGAATACTACTAAGCTATAAAAAAGATAAAATCCTTCCATTTGCAACAATATAGATAGACCTATAGAAAATTAAACTTGAGAAATAAGTCATACAGAGAAAGATAACCACTATATGATTTCATTTGTATGTGGTACAAAAAGAATACAAACAGATGAACAAAATAAAACTATTAGACAATGAGACAAATTAGTGGTTACAACAAGGCAAATTGGGAAAAGGGGAGCAATGATGTAGTAAAGGATAGAAATGGACTCTTAGCAGTGAACTTAATGTAGTATGTATACATGCTGATTCTCAGAGATGGACACCTGAAACTTATGTAATACTATAATGCAATATTACTTCAATAAAAACCATGAAACTGAAATAAGAGCATGACTGTTAGAAATAAAGATACAAAAACAAAGTTACTTGTGGCCAGAGCAATTAAATATTTGTACTCAAGAAAATCAATGGAAAACTCTCAGAAATGATGAGAATTAAAATAACCACACCGGTTTGAGTCACAGCTTCACCGCTAATGAGATGAATAACCTTGGGAGATTATCTTTTAAACCTCAGTATTCTCATCTATAAAAATGGGGTGATGATAATATTAATCTCACAGGTTTGTCATAAAGACTAAATAAAAACTAAATAAATGATATTTTTTAAGTACTTAAAAACATGGCATATGGCAAACATTTAATAAACATCAGTCACAATAATAATAATGTTATTAATGTTTTTATTCAATAGTAGCACAACATAAAACAAGTATATATCAAAAGCATTATTAAATACTATTATAATCATTGGGGAGATAAAATGAGGAAAATGTCCTATTCACCATAGCAACAAAAATATAAAATACCTGGTCTGATGAGACAATTTGGTTGATCTGACAATTTGGTATATATATATATACACACCGAACCCTGTTCAAATGCCTGACCCACAGAATCATAAGCAGTAAAAAGGACTGTCACTTTTAAGTCACTAATTTTGGGGTGGCTTGTCACATAGCAATACATAGGTGAAAATAAGTATAGAAAAAAACAATACAATCTATATGTTCACCAGAAAGACTTGTTCAATAAATTGCATAGCAATACAATTTAAATTACCAAAACTAATAAAAGCCAAATGTCCATAAACAATGGAATGAACAAATTTTGGTATATTTGTAAAATGGAATATTATTCAGCAACAAGAATGACAAAGCGGCCACAACATGAGAAGGCACGTTCAAAACTGTATGCTTCAGTTTAGACAGAAAAGTTCACAACAAGCAAAACTAATTCAGGATACAGAAGTCAGGAAAGCAGTGATGGGTTGAGTCAGGCAGACTAGAGAGGAATGCGAAAGGGGCTTCTCTGGCTCTAATGGGTTTTTCTTTTCCTGGGTGCCAGTTACAAGGGTGTGTTTACTTTGAGAAACTGCACTGTGATATACTTATGATTTGTGTACTTTTCTGTAATGAAGAAAAAGTTTACATAAGATTAAACCACTGTTCCCTTCCTTTGTAAAATTTTTTTTATATATTTTTAAATGACCTGCAGAATTTTTTAAATGTAGATTTTTTTTTTCTTTCAAATAGAGAGGCTGAGTAAATATCTCTGGGCTGGAACCCAGCCATTTTTGGCTAAGAATCCCTATATACGATTCTGATGCAGAGCCCAGATTGAAATATCAGGTCATTAGCAGAAAGAGTGCTGTTTCATTTCATTACTATAATTCCTTGCAAAAACATTTTTGCCAAAGAACATGAAGCACAAACAACTATCTTCAAATTGTAATTATCTAAAAGAAAGAAAACGGCAAAGTACCCATATCCACCCACTCCCCATTTCTCAGGTTTGGCTATTTCACCATTCAGAAAGCTTCTGCAGACCATTAAATGCTTTAATTAGTTTCATACATATGTACTTCATTCAAAGCATGCCATTAAAACAACCTTCTTTCTCCACTTTGAAGGGTGCTTACTTTGAAGGGTGCTTACCAGATTTAAAAGATGCTCTTAGACACCATACACTCAAAGTTGTTGAGCAGAAAATGGTTGGCTCAAATTTTTTAAAAAGAAGTTTTTAAGTCTAGAGTCTACTTCAAAGATAACAGACAAACCTTAGTTTGTAGGAGAAATATCTTCTGTAAATAACCATTTTAAAGTCATTTTTGGAGCATACTTATATTGCTCATCTCTGAAATTATTCATGTAATCATTTCAAAATGACTTCATAAATGATAAATAGATAGCTAGGTACTTATGTATCTATGCAGAAAACAAAGACATGATAAGGCCAACTGTATTTAATCTACCATCTTCCCTGGATCTTGTTTCATAAAATACTCAAGATATTTTTAACTCTCAGCATAAAAGTTTTGTGAATAAAAGATAATAAATATCCTCTTTACTAAGCTACCACTGTGCCTTGACAGACTGTGGTTCAGAGAAAGTATCCAACAACTTAAAGTTGAAGCAAATCTAATTTCATTTTTTGAGTGAGAAAATGAAATGATCAAGTTAGTTGACACCAATCAGAAAAGGAAAAAGTCAGCTGGACTGATGTCACTAGTTGGTTGCTGTCACACAGACAAGATGGGTGGGCAGCTTTTTAATTTCTTACTATTCACCCATCCCTTGATGAGCACAATTCAACATTTAGGGACCGTTTTTCAAAAGACTTAACTTTTTACTTACCTGGGTCATTTTGATTTACGTGTGTGTAGTTATCCAACAAGAACGAAAAAAAATTGGATAGCTGGATGAAAGAAAAATACATTAATCAATTATCGAACCCGAAACAGCTACTGTGGCACTTGCTGTTGGTGTCTCGTGCACGTCACCTTACTCTTTTGGAATACTCATCTCCCAGCTCTTGTATGTGCTAACAGGTCCCAGTGCTATCTGCCTCTGCCCCCCAAAGATTGCCCTTGGCAGATGGATGGCACCTTGCACAGGATATCATACCCCCCCCTTCTGGGGGACTGCCCAAGGAAAATGACTAACTGAAGCAAGGGTATTACAGCCTCGCTCTCTATCTCCTTTGCCAACGTGTGGTACAAACTGGGATGCGTTTCACACCTGCACATTCCCACTGGGGTCAGGTCAACCTCAGACTTCTCTGGAAGCCATCTTTTTGCCTAGTTTTTCCTCCTGTCCTATCTTGCCTTCCTCATTTCCTTACAGGTTTTTCCTGAGAACATTAACTCAAGAAATCACTTCTATCAGAGTACTCAGACTCTGCTTCTAGGAAACCAACCTAAGACATACTAGATTTTGTTCAGTACGAGCTCTCCTTTTCCTTTTGGTGGTATGAGTAAGAGTTAGATACTGTTAAATGTCAAATATATTTGGAAAAGGACAGAAAAGAGAGAGGACGCGAAGGAAGGAGGGTAAGAGGGAAAGCTAGAAATCCACCAACATTCTAACCATCACCTAGTTGCTGCCTCTATGACTACCAATTTTCAGCAAAGACCTGCATGTACACAGTGCAATTAACTTTTTTCCAAGTTCTCCCTCCCATGAAGAGTGAACACTAAGGAACCCTATCAATCTAGGAGTAGGTCTGGGAGTTGAGGGAAGGAAGACTTCCCACACAAACATCAAAATATATGATTTTAATGCTATTGATGGATTTCTCAATTTAGTCAACAGAAACCACAAATGAGATAACGAGATACCACCTCAATACACAAGGATGGCTATAATCAAAAACAGATAATAACATGTGTTGGAAAAGATGTGGTGAAACTGGAGCCCTTGTACACTGCTGGTGGGAATGTAAAACAGTACAACTGCTTTGGAAAACAGTTTAGTAATTACTAAAAAAGTTAAACAGAATTACCAGATGACCCAGCAATTCCACTCCTAATGCATGCACCCAAGAGAACTGAAAACATGTACACATAAAAACCTTCACACAGATATTCAAAGCATGATTATTCATAATAGAAAAAAGTGGAAGCAATTCAAATGATCTATCCACTGAGGAATGGATATAGTTTTTTGGAAGATGATGAAAAAGTCCTAAAATTTATTATGGTGTGGATGTTTATACAACTTTGTGAATTTTATATTTTAAATGGATGACTTGTATTTCAATAAATCTATCATAAAGAGTCAGTTTTAAAAATGCACAAGTACTGGAATGTTTATATATAAAGATTACCAATTGAGTGCTCACTCTACCTTTACATGCATCACTGTATTCTACAGTACTTAAAAGGACAGTCAACACTGTGCTCCCAATCTGTCAAGGTGAGTATCTGACTGCACCAAAGTATAGCATTGTCCTAGCTTGAAAGAATAAATCCAGCAATTTCTTTATTTTTTGAAATTTTCTTAATTATTTTAGATAATTCTGTAACATAAATTTACATGATTGCTCAAAACTACAAATAACACAGAATGAAAATGAGAAGTCTTCTCCCACCCACGAAGACCATTCCTGTCCTCAGAAAAAACCACTCAAAGCACTTTACTATATATTTTTCCCCTGACTTTTTCTGTACATTTAATTTTCCTTCACATACATAGAATAAAACTCTACATATTGCTTTACAAGTTGATTTTTTTATTAACAACTACATGGGAGATATTTTCAAAATCTTTTTGTTTTTAAAAAGGGTTTTTTTCTTCTATTAATAACCATTAAAACTGGATTTATATTAGTCTTTGCAAACTTAAAAAAGACCTTCCTTGCCCATCCAAATTTTTTTCCAGAACTTTCATAGATGTATCCCCAGGAAATTATTCCATTTTTTAATTCCTTCAAGTATTTTATCCTTCACAAAGTAACAACTTTACTTTCTATTGGGGCATGTACAAAAAAAGTAGAATTAGACCATTTTCTATTTAGTTAACTAGGCATCTGGTGGCACTCTTTTAAGAATGTGAACTTCTGAAATGAAAAAACCATCCTCTTCCCAAATCATACTCTCATCTCAAAACCGGTTCTAAGACAATGTCACTCCATTTTCTGTTAAAGCCTTTCACCAAGGTCCCCTCACTTAAAATGGACCCAAACTTCCATTCTTTCAATAACAAGAGGTATAGAGAAGCATTTTACCAAAAGAAGAGAGATGAGCTTGCAAAACATACTTGCAGTTGTCCTTGCTCATCAGCATATTCAATGGACTGGAAGATGGTGAGGGCATAGCGCTGTCGGGCCTTCAGCCGAGCGCTGTAACTTCGGTACCAGTTCTGGATGATAAGTGCGGCTTTCAGCGCTGCAGACCCAGAGAATATGAAAGTCAGAGAAAAGCAGTTACTATACAGCTATTGGGATGGGTGGGAAGGGGGATATCGCTTCAGGAAAAAAGCAGGCCATTTCTGGGTTCTGGAAACATAAAAACTACAATGAGATTTGCCTTTATGTTTTTGCAAAATGTCCTCAAGTCTCAAATATTCAGTGAATAGTGATGGCACAGCCATTAAGAAGAAAAGTTTTTCAGCAAGACTGCCCGAATTTAAATCCCAACTTTGCTAATGACCATCTATATGACTTCGGCTAAGTTTTAATAAAACTCTCAAAGTCTAAGTTTCCCCTAGCACTACTTAGGCCTATGAAGTCCATGTATGTCCTATGAATTGCAACAGCTATTCATACAAGCATACATATACTATGCATATGTAATCCCACGGCATACCCCCCCAAAGCAATTATCACACAGTCCACAAAGGAGACATATGAGGATACAATGCTTCTTTGTTTGTGGCAGTAGGAAGTTTGATACCAACACAGCCAAGCTGTCCATCATGAGGAAGAAAAATGTCGAACTGTGGTGAGTACACACTATGGAATATTACAGCACAAACGGAAGCATAAATAGTGCTTCCCATAGCAACTTGAATGGGTCTTACAAACAGTGCTTCGCTTAGAAATAGTTATTTAAAAAGTTAAAGACAGAATGAAATATAACATGATACCACTTCATATAAGTTTAAAATACACATACACAAAAACACAATATACATTTCATAAGAATATATAAAGGCAAAGATTTACACTCAGTATTACAAGGGGGGGCAGAATGAATGAGCATGGGGTACATGGATAGAAGGGATTAAGCAAATGAACTAACATAAGAAAAGGTTTTGTACAGCCAATAATGACAATGTACAATGAATTAAGAAATATGATTGACTCCACCCCTGCACTTGAGGTTTAATTGATTAAAGACAGAAGGCTAAAAGAAAACATCTTCCTCCTTTATAGAGGTAATACGGGGACAAAATGAAATACTATAAATGAAAGAGCTTAGCCCAGTGGTGATATAAAACGCATGTGAAACAAACGGCAACTGTAGAGACAAATATCGTCTTATTTGTGGATTATTCAGGCACACTGACTCCCTCCTGGGGCTGGTAGCCTTTGAACCATCAGGTAGCTTCATAGTATTGAAGAAAGAAATAAAGTGAGAGATGAGATTTAAAACATAATCTCTTATGCCTTCTTTAAGTTTTAGAGTTAAGAGCAATCAACACCAGCTGGCTCCTTTTATTCATGCTACAAATTTTCCCATTAATGCATAAAAATTAAGAATTAACTATAACAAGAATAATTTGAGTTCTGAAAGCAGGAATCCAGCCTCTAGGATCCTTGGTTTAGTACTTCTGTGGTTCACCAAGTAGACACTAGTCATCAGACAGCATTTATTTATGAATTTCTTCAAGGCTCTTGGGTTTCAGAGACTCTTGTTTCATTATTCAGCTTCCAGAAAACCCAGAAAATAAACATAAGGTCAAGTAACAGGAACTTTATAGGGAAAAACCACAGGAGAAGAAATCAAGGGATCTGTTCGCTATTGCAAAGTAACGAATTGTAAGACCATGACTGAAATCTCCGGTGTTCTCAACATGTTATGGAGAGCCCAGGTTCACCCGAAAGGCCTGTTCTATAGGACAGTCATTGCCATGACCAACCAACCCTCACCTCAGGGGGCCTCAAAGGCTCTCTGTTCACCAAGCACAACACAACTGCTGCGCTCATGCCACTGAGTACTCACGGAATGCCAGGCAGTAGATTCGTTCCTATAGTCCTCACCACACTGTGAAGCTGAGAGAGACTAACTGACTTAAGGTCACTTAGCCAGTGAGTGGAAATGAATGGCAAGAAATTGAACACAGGTCTGACTGACTCCGACTCCATTCCCTAGGCTTTTTTTTTTTTTTAATAGAGGCATGTTTTATTTATTTGTTTGTTTGTTTTGTTTATACATGCACTGGGTATAATCAGAAGCGCGGGAGGGTGAGAGAATCCACCAGAGCCAGAGCGGGGAGCAGAACAGGCAGAAGGACCGAAGTACACTGCTGAGGGGAGCAGCGGGCAGCAGGAGAGGTCTGCACGCCATGTGGGACCCTCCTCCAGTAGCTGGGGAGCAGCCGGGGATCGAACCGGTGCTGCAGAGGCTGCTGGCAGCTTCGCAACCCAGTGCTCAACCGCTGCGCCACCAGGGAGGCCCCCTAGGCTCTTAATGTTCATATCTCTTGACCTTTTTCTGTGCCTCAGTTTCTTAATTTGTACAATGATGTAGTGGAATCTATTGTATGATCACTAAAAATCTCTTCTAATTAGCATTAGCAGCATCAATAATAAATAGGCAAGTTTATTATTATTTCTATAGTTATTAATGGAACAAAATAGCTACCATATTTAAGGGTCTACTATAAGACATTTAGTCCCCAGAGTATTATCATCTCCATGATACATGTAAGGAAACTCTGGGTTCAGAGAGGCAAGCATCTTGTTCATCTTGTTCAAAGTTACCTAGTATGAACTAACATTTTCTCAGTCCAAACCCTGGTTCTCTCCATTGTGGCCAGTTACTTCAGTCCCTAATCTATTTATACCTTTCCTTCCTTTGAATTATAATAGCTACCATTTACTGAATGCTTATTATGTACCTGACACTAAGCTAGACACATTATATAAACTACTGTTCTAGTCCTTCCCCACATGAGGAAAAAGCAATCTAAGAGTCCTCTCTTATCTCTGCCTTGCTTCTGTCTAGACCCTTGCCAGAACCCACTTCACTTGCCAGTGGAGGAGTTGCTATTTTGTTTGGTAAGCACACAATACATTCATGGGCTATTAATGAGTGTGAATACTCTGCCTTGGAAGACAGACAACCATACTCAGTTCCCTGCTTCTTGCACTTCCTCCTCTATTTCAAAGTCAGTAAGTCAGTAAGCTGTTTGCAACCCCTACTTGAGAATCCACCATTTCTCTCTCTGCTTGCACTCTTATACCTGAGCCCGTACACCTGAACATGAACATCACATACTAAGGTATCATGTGTCAGCTCTCATCAGCACTTGCCTACTCCATCACTGTTGCCGAGGCTGGGACTCCGTAGGCCACATTTCAGCTTTGCCAATTGCTCCCTGTCCAACTCTGCCAAGACGAGTGGTAGAGGGAGATGGTGAGGCTAGAGGAGGGGACCAAGGATAGCCTCCTTCCTGTCCCTGTTCCTGTAAACTAGCAACTGCTCCACATTCCCTGCAGCAGTTTCTCCTTGCAGTAGTCTCTGGATTCAATTTGCAGTTTACCCAGCACTTGCAAAGCCAGCCTCACCGCAGCCCCTCAGAGGCACCAGCACCAGCTGAATAGTCCTTCTCAAAGTTCTGAGTTTCAGTTCTACAGGACCTCCGCCTCCAAGTTTCTACACTTTAACGATTCCAATCTTTTCCCTTTGTTCTCAGTCCTGGAGGTACAGCAGCTTCCTCCCTATACTTAAGAGTTCTCTTGCAGGAGCCCTTTCAGTTACCCAGGAACAACTTGCTACCTAGGTAGCAGCTCTTCACATCCAGCATCCTCTATTCAGATCACTTTGTGGCTTCTGCCTCCTAAACAGACCCTGCCTAGTGAGCTAGTCCCACAGAGGTGGGGAAAGTAGGTTCAGCGTAGGCCTCAGGCCTCCAACTTCCTGGGTACTCCAGTTCAGGCCCTTCCTGGAGCTCTACATAGGGATTTTAAGTACTTGGGCAGTGGCTGATAAAACGTTGCTCCTTGTGCATGCAGTTTCCACAGTGCCCCCACCCCCACCCCGAGGAAAGGGAAGGAGATCACAGGGCAGGCTTGGGCACACCAACTGCAGACCTCTAAAACTTCACCGCATTCCTAAGAGTCCTCACTGGTCTTGGGGCCATCTAGCTAGCTGAAGACCTTCCTCTGGAGCAGAAACCTCCAAAATAGCAAAGGGTAGAGCCCAGATATGACAAACCCTACCCAAGGGGGTCTCTGGCTCCACAACCCCCAACCCTGCCCACAGAGTTAAAGATCTGTGTCTTCTAGTTCTGAACTTGTTGGATAGCTTAGTCTGGCTTTCGGTCCTGGTGATTCATCACGTAACAGGACTTGTCTTCCCTGTCACATTAATTCTATGCAGAAAAATAAATAAATAAAAGCTCTTGCCATATGTGTCCCAAGGGCCTTCTATTTTTGTTTCTAAAAGGAAGCAACAGGGCCTCCCCGGTGGCGCAGCGGTTGAGCGCTGGGTTGCGAAGCTGCCTGCAGCCTCTGCAGCACCAGTTCGATCCCTGGCTGCTCCCCGGCCACTGGAGGAGGGTCCCACAGACCTCTCCTGCTGCCCGCTGCTCCCCTCAGCAGTGCACTTGGGTCCTTCTGCCTGCTCTGCTCCCTGCTCTGGCTCTGGTGAATTCTCTCACCCTCCCGAGCTTCTGACTGTACCCAGTGCATGTATAAACAAAAACAAACAAACAAACAAACAAACAAATAAATAAATAAATAGAACATGCCTCTATGGAAAAAAAAATAAATAAATAAAATTAAAAAATAAAAGGAAGCAACAGCACAGGTTTAATAAGCTACCTGATCAATTTTCTGAGCCCAGCATAGGTGGTTTCTTTATTGTCAAGCTGGGGGGTCTGGGGAGGGGGTTCTTTGTTTTTTAATGGGTTCTTTTCTCTGATAGCAATCATCATAGTATTTTGCAAAAAAAATTTAAGTATCTTTCTAGGGACTCAGTGAGCAAATTAAAAATAAATTCAGAGCATTTTTTGTGTGCCAGGCATTCCTATACAGTATCATTATCCTTATTTGACAGAGAAACTGAGGCTCCGAAATAACTGGGTTAGGGTCATATCATTTGTTAATGGAAGAATGTGGAGTCAACTAGATATCCCTGTAATTGCAGAACCTGGACTCATAGCCATTATTCTGTTCAATGCAGATGGCACTTGGAATTTGCCATAAAATAATGAGACC